TCTCTCTCTCTCTCTCTCTCTCTCTCTCTCTCTCTCTCTCTCTCTCTCTCTCTCTCTCTCTCTCTCTCTCTCTCTCTCTCTCTTCCTTCTGCCTGTAGTGTCATGTCCTGCAGCTGGCTCATGCTCTCTTTCTCTCCTGTAAGACCAGGCCATTGATGTCCATCCGTTAATTTTGGGATGAGGCCAGTGTTGTGCTTTGGTTTTTAGACCAGGCCACAAGTGTTGTATCACTTTTTTTTTTTTTCCCTCAAAAAGCCATGTGTTGTATCACTTTCAGGAGGGCAGTGTTGTGCCCTTTTTTTTAATGCTTATTTTTGTGAATGCTCTGCTTCTCAATTACATTTATTTTCGGGCCAGCTTTCTCTTCCCGGGGACAGGAATCAGAAAGTAAGACTAGCGCAGAAAAAGAGAAGGTCAATAAAGTAATACTAGAGTTGAAACTTCCCACCATAGTTCGAACTTCGAACTTCAGACTTGCCTACAAATTCCAACTGAATTCTGCAATCTACACCTGAGAAGAGGTTCCATGTTATCCGGACTCTTCATTTGATCATCTAGGAACGAACAGTTTAGGCAAGTGGGCCCTTGGCCTGGACTCCGGAGAGAGTACACTTGTTGCATGGATTGGGCCCGAGGTGGCCCTTGCCTGGATCTGCCATTGCTGCCCATTGGCCTTCGCGATCAACGGTCAAGAATGGATAATTGGGGCGCTGCAATGGATGGCCCCCCAAAAATCACATGGTGCAAATTCGTTGCTTGTCAAGACCGGAAATGTGTGTGTGTGTGTGTGTGTGTGTGTGTGTGTGTGTGTGTGTGTGTGTGAGAGAGAGAGAGAGAGAGAGAGAGAGAGAGAGAGAGAGAGACATGCTATCAAGTATTTTTTTTTTGACACAAAGGTAGAGAAAAACAGAAAAAGAGAGAGGAAAAAAGGAAGGAAAGTTTAACACTAAGCCACGATAATATTGTATTATGGACTGTCTGAGGGGGCCAGTGTATTATAACATGGGTTTGCAGCCCTATCCCAATGTGTTTGAAATTCAATTTTCAATGCTTGCAAATACATGCTGTTAGACACAGAGCCCTAGTCTTAATGATTCGGCCCATCCACCGTGAACGGAACGAGTTTGAAGCTCTTATAACCTCACTGCTGCACCTTTACTGCCGAACCCCTCACTGTTAAATATGGCCCCTCACTGCTGAATATGACCCCTTCCTGTTGAATATGACCCCGTTAGTGTTGAATATGACCCCTCATTGTTGAATATGACCCCTTATTTTTTAATATGACCCTTCACTCTTGAACAGTTCACTGTTGAGTTGTCCCTTCATGGTTGAACCCTTCAGCATTTTGAATATTACCCTTCACTATTGAACCCTTCACTGTTGAACCCTTCACTGTTGAATATGAACCTTCGCTTTTTGAACCCCTCTCTGTTGAATATGACCCTTCGCTGTTGCATGTGTCCTTCTGCGCTGTTGAAAAAGGTCCCTTCCGTGTTGAATATGACATTTCGCTGTTGAATATGACCCTTCTGAATAAACAGGCATGTGCGGGTCACCGAAGACTGGATACGAAGAGGATCAACAGTGGGCGAATATCAAGGCGGGAGAGAAATGGACGATGAGGCTACATAACCTGGCCGCCTGTGATGCGAGATCCAATGCAACTGCATTCTGAAACAGACCCTATGCACATTTCACCATGAAACACAAGGCATGCATGGGGTTTTCTGCCAAACAAAACCCCGGACATTTGTGATATGGTTATTCTATTTCATCTGGATTCACACTCATGATATATTCATGATCAATCACTTCTGCATGCCATTCGATCAAATGGGCTGGGTCTTTGTGATATTGTTATGGCCCTGTGCTTATGGACAAGTTGGTCCGAAAATTACTTGTGTGTTCCATTCAGCCACATGGGCGGGGTCTGTGCTGAGTCCTATCAATGGCCCCGGTAGCTCTTTTTTGTATTCTGATAAGGGACGCTGGGCCCGGTTTCCAGCCGTGTTGCTCCCCACAAATAGATTGGAGCATCGTCTCAACACACAAAAAAAAAAAAAAAAAAAAAAAGATTCCATACCCATTGGTTGCGAGACAGGACAAAGTGTTACCACCCCTTTGTCTTTTTCAGTTTGTTGTTCTTTGTTTTTTTTTT